TTTAGCTTCCTTGCGATGGGTTAGAACATGCTCCTTTAGCTTGGAGAAGTTTGTTATTACTGACCTTCTGAAGCCTACTTCTGTCAACTCGTCAAAGCCATTCTCCATGCAGTTTTGTTCCATTGCTGGCGAGGAGCTGCAATCCTTTGGAGGAGAAGAGGTGCTCTAGTTTTTAGAATTTTTAGATGTTCTGCTCTGATTTCTCCCCATCTTTGTGGTTTTATCTACCTTTGGTCTTTGATGTTGGTGACCTACAGATGGGAATTTGGTGTAGATGTCTCTTTTGTTGATGTTGATCCAATTCCTTCCAGTTTATTAGTTTTCCTTCTAAAGGTCAGGTCCCTCAGCTGCAGGTCTTTTGGTTTGCTGGAGGTCCACTCCAGACCCTGTTTGCCTGGTATCACCAGTGGAGGCTGCAGAACAGCAAATATTGCAGAACAACAAATATTGCTGCCTGATCCTTCCTCTGGAATCTTCGTCCCAGAGAGGCACCCACCTGTATGAGGTGTCTGTCAGTCCCTACTGGAAGGTGTCTCCCAGTTAGGCTACACAGGGGTCAGGGACCCACTTCAGGAGGTAGTCTGTCCATTTTCAGAGCTCAAACACTGTGCTGGGAGAACCAATACTCTTTTCAGAGTTGTCAGACATGGACGTTTATGTCTGCAGAAGTTTTTGCTGCCTTTTGTTCAGCTATGCCCTGCCCATAGAGGTGGAGTCTACAGAGGCGGTAGGCCTTGCTGAGCTGTGGTGGGCTCCACCCAGTTCGAGCTTCCTGGCTGCTTTGTTTACCTACTCAAGCCTCAGCAATGGGGGACGCCCCTCTTCCCACCAGGCTGCTGCCTTGCAGGTTGGTCTCAGACTGCTGCGCTAGCAGTAAGCAAGGCTCCGTGGGCATGGGATACACCAAGCCAGGCACGGGAGAGAATCTCCTGGTCTGCTGGTTGCTAAGACCGTGGGAAAAGTGCAGTATTTGGGCAATAGTGTCCCAGTTTCCCAGGTCCAGTCTGTCACAGCTTCCCTTGTCTAGGAAAGGGAAATCCCCTGACCCATTGCACTTCCCGGGTGAGGTGATGCCCCGCCCTGCTTTGGCTCACACTCTGTGGACTGCACCCGCTGTCCAACCAGTCCCAAATAGATGAACGAGGTACCTCAGTGGAAATGCAGAAATCACCCTTCTTCTGCATCAATCACACTGGGAGCTGCAGATCGGAGCTGTTCCTGTTAGGCCATCTTGGAAAGGAGCCCCTTTGTCATTATTCTTTATAGTTTTGTCTTTTAACCTTCATGCTAAAGATGTAAGCAAAGTATACACCATCATTACAGTAATATTGTAAATGGAACTGTGTACTCACTTTTATCAGTGAGTTTGATAAATTCAGACATTATCATATTCATTAACATCCTTTTCTTTCAGCTTGAAGAACTCCCTTTAGCTTTTCTGTAAGATAGGTCTAGTGATTATGAATTGTCTCTGCTTTTGTTTTTCTGAGAAAGTCTCTATTGTCTTGATTTCTGGGTATAGTGTTTTTAGTAGGTAGTTCTTTTTTTCCTTCAGCACTTTGAATATACTATCTCACTCCCTCTTGGCCTGTAAGGTTTCTACTGAAAAGTCAGCTACTAGACATATGGAACTCCCTTATATGTTATTTGCTTCCTTTCTCTTGTTGCTTTCAGAATTCTCTTTTTGCCTTAGGTATTTGACAATTCAATTCTAATATGTCATGGGGTAGTCTTATTTGGATTCAATCTGATTGGTGTCCTTTGACCTTTCAGTACCTGAATATTTATATTTTTCTCCACTTTGGGAAATTTTCTATTATTTCTTTAAATAAGCTTTCTACCTAGTTATTTTTCTCAGTCCTGCTTGAACTCTGATGACCCAAACGCTTGCCCTTTTGATGCAGTCTCATAAATCCCTTAAGCTTTTTTCATTCCTTTTTATGATCCTTTTTTGCTCCTTTGATTGGATAATTTCAAATGTTCTGCTGTTGAGCTCACTGCTGCTGCTGCTTCTTCTTGATCAAGTCTGAAGTTGAGGCGTTCTATTGACGTTTTAGGGTTCAATTATTGTATTCCACAAATTTTTTTTGAGACAGAGTATCTCTCTATCAACCAGGCTTGAGTGCAGTAGTGGAATCTCAGTCACTGCAACCTCCACCTCCTGGGCTCAAGCAATTCTTTCACCTCAGCCTCTCAAGTAGCTGGTACCACAGTCTTGAGACACCACGCCAGCCTATTTTCTGCAATTTTTGTAGAGACAGGGTTTCACCATATTGCTCACGCTGGTCTCAAACTGTTGAGCTCAATTGATCCACCTGTTTTGGCATCTCAAAAGTGCTGGGATTACAGATGTGAGCTACTAAGCTCCACAAGCAATTGTATTCTTCATCTTTAGGATTTCTATTTGGTTTGTTGTTGTTGTTGTTGTTGTTTGTTTCCATTTCTTTGTCAAATTTTTCATTTTGTTCATGAATTTTTATTTTAATTATTTGTATTTTTGTAGTTCTCTGAACTTCTTTAAGAGGATTATTCTGAATTATTTCTCAGTTATTTCATAGATCTCCTTCTCTAATGGGTCTGTTACTGAAGCTTTATTAGTTTCTTCTGGTGTGTTGTATTTCTCAGGTTTTTTCATAATCCTTGTGTTTTTACATTGATGTCTGTGCATTTGAGGACATAGCCACCTCTTTCATTCTTTGCAGGTCTTCTTTGGTGGTAATAGACCTTTACTATTTAGTCTAACCTGAGATTCTGAATGGGCCAGCTGGTTGCAAACATACCCAAGCAGTCTTTGGCGTCATGTTCTTGAGTTACTTCCCGTGCTCTGAGTTTGAATGGTAGTGCAGCCTCGGCACCATGGTCCAGTGAGACTGCTGGCTGGAGTCCACTGTCAGGTGGGGCTGCTGGCTGGGCTCTGCAATCAACTCTGATTAGGCAGGGTTGCAGTTGTCTTCCCAGACCATGTGGTAATATTGTTTGGAATCTGTGTCGTGTTTCCTAAAGTGTGATGCCGTTGGCTAGTTTCTCCAGTGTAGTGCCTGCCGCCATTGGCTGGAATGCAGAGCAATCACCAAAATCTGTTCCCTTGTCAGTGTAAGCTCCACCCCTATCCTCCATCTCCAACTTACCCCAAGTGTCCAACCCTGCTGGCACTCCCAATGTTCCCTGAAGTATGTGATAAGACTAAGCCTCCTCAAAGGGGTTCAGAATGGTGGGGAAGACAAATGTCAGCCTCCAACTCACTGCTCCCACGGTAGAAACTATGAGCTCAGAAAAATTCTGTGTGTGTGGTACTGTGCCAGCCTGGAGGAGGGGCAGCAAGATCAGAAAGAATTGTTCCTCTTACCATCTGATTGTGGGCTTTCTAGATTCTGTAGTTCAAAGGGGTGTCTCACATTCTCTTCTGAGTTCTGTGGTGCTCACAATGGTAGTCTTGCCTTTTGATAGTTACTGATTGGATTTCTGTTTGGGAGAGTAAAGCTGGAGAATTCCTATTCTTCCACCTGGCTGAGGTCATTCCTATATTTAGATTACAATTTCTTCTTATTTATTGTTTTCTTTTCTTCTTTCTTAAGACAGGGGCTCATTCTAATACCCAGGCTGGAGTGCAGTGGCATGATCTTAGCTCACTGTATTTTCAAACTCCTGGGCTCAAGTTATCCTGCTGCCTCATCCTCCCAAGTAGCTAGGAATACAGGTGTGTGCCACCATGCCAGGCTAACTTGTTGTATTTTTATTTTTGTAGAGACAGGGTCTCACGATGTTTCCCAGGCTGGTCCCAAACTCCTGGCCTCAAGCAATTCTTCCACCTCAGCCTCCCAAAGCACTGGGATTATAGGCATAAGCTACTATGCACAGTCTAATTTGCTTTTCTGTAGCTGATTTTCTAAAATATAGTTCTATCAGTTACTAAAAGGGGATTGTGAAAATATTCACCTCTGTGGGTTTATGTATTTCTCCTTTTTTTTCTGTGAGGTTAACTTCATGTATTTTGAAGCTCTGTTATATTCAGTGCACACATATTTATTGTGTCTTCTTCATGAATTGAACCCTTTATCACTCATAAATGTCCTCTGTCCCATTTTATTCTGTGTATTCCATGGGGAATGAGAAAGGCATCCTGATGCGGCTGGTGGGGACCCGGTTAAGGAGCCATCTCCTAGGACTTGGCCGGTGCCCATCTCATCCCCTCAGGCTGTCTCCTCACACACTGGCCCAGGTCCTGAAGCAACCCCACCCAGCTGACGTGATTCCCCACTTTCCTCTGTTGCACCCCAAGCTGACTCCTGCGTACCCTTCCAAGGCCCTCCCCACCATGACCCCTGCCGCATCAGCCGGGCCCCTCCCCATCGCTTGACACCCCCATACAGGCCACACCCCTCTCACCTTCCCTGCTTTCTGCTACTTCCTCTATCCCTGTATTTCACTCGGCTGGGCTTTCTAACTTGAAGTTTCTCCACCGGTGGGCTGGGGAGCATGTGTTCAGGAGAGGAGGGTCTGTTCGGAGCTGCAATCTAGTCCTGCTTACAGTCCTCCATGATGCCAATTTCTACGCAAAATACATTTTAAATACAGCGTTGCACACAATTGTCACCCTCTCAGAGAGGCTTTTCTGGCCA